TTTTCTGGTGGTTTATTGGAGATAGGAGTCTCACGGTCTTTCCTGCCCGGGCTGGCTTTGAACCGCGATCCTCAGATCTCAGCCTCCTGAGTAGCTTAGGATTACAGGCGTGAGCCACCAACGCCCGGCTAAAGACTGTTTCTTGTAACCAATGTCAGCTTACATACTAGTAACACTTTCTCATGCCTCCTGTTATTGACAAAATGAAGGTCTACATAAAGATTTAAGTCTTATCTTTATTAATGGTCCAGGCCAACTAATTTCTTTTTTTTTTCTTTTCTTAAGAAACAAATTTACCAAGCTAGAGATACAGCTCAAGGGGTAGTGTACCTGCCTCACAAGCACAAAGCCCTAAATTTACTCCTCCAATCATATTTATTCTCACAATATGAGAAATAAAAATACATACTGAACTTTACTGTCTTAATATTTCCATGTTCCTGTTTAGTCCTTGCCCATATACACACACAATTTCTACCAGAGTATAGATGAAATCCCCATGGCTGCCTCTGGTCTCAGTTATATGATATTGCCTTAGTAATTCTAACTAATTACTAGTTATGCTCTGATTAATTGCTAGCATACTAGTTTCCTACATAAATCGTTGGTGAGGCTTTAAACTCTGAAATAATTATCTAGCAAAATACACTCAGAAGTAATCCAACTAGAACTATAGATATCAAAGTAGTAAAACTTAAAAAACATACCATATGTTCTTGATTTGACAAGTCATATTTCAATGCAAATGACTTCACTCTTCCCACAAATATTGTATTATAAAATTTGATAAGATCACCTCTTTCTTCTTTCACTGGTTCACAAGAACAGTCAGGTGTTTTTGTGGCATCTTCCATCTCTGTTAAAAACAATTCAGTGTTGTGATAGGTATACTTTAGTATGTAAGGTGGTGATTCGAATTACAACCCTCTATACAATATTACAAATCTCACAAATCTTTATGAAAAGCAAAATTCCAGAGAAGGTTCAGAAACCCATCTACATTATTTACAAATTGAATTAGAATCTAGAGAAATACAGCATGTGGATTGAAGGTGGTACTTTTTAATCTGGATACTTTTTTCAGCACAGCACAGCATAGCACAATTTTGGGGTTCAATATACTTGGTAGCTCTTAAAGAGAAAACAGCCTAGATGGGGTTTAGCTAAACTTCATAGCATGAGATGCAATGGCATAGCTTGAGCTTCTGATTATAAAAGGCTTTCAGGGGCTCAGAAGGTGGCTCAGTGGTAGAGCGCTTGCCTTGCATCCCTGAGGCCCTGGATTCAATTCCTCAGCACCACATAAGCAAAAAGAAAAAAGCCGGAAGTGGCACTGTGGCTCAAGTGGTAGAGCGCTAGCCTTGAGCTGAAGAGCTGAGGG